AAGGGTATACAGAGTGTTCAGGGTCTCACTACTAGATCAGACTCGTAGTGATCTGCCTCTTTAGCCTCCCAAGAGCTGGGATTGTAGGGGCGCATGACCAGGCCCAGTCTCAGTTGCCATATCAGCACACCCCAGGGGCTGGGCCATCAGGGCAGGCCCGGAGATTCGATCCCTGACCCCTGCACCTGCTTGCAGGCGATTTAATCTGCTGAGCTATTTGGCTGGCCCTAAGAGCACCTTTTATGAGAAAAACCTTGTTCTCAAATTTGCTTTACATGTCCCACTATCTCCACTCTTCCTGGGGGCACATGAATTGACAGACATGGGAGACTGTCTTTTGTGCAACCTTTTTGCAAACACTGAACACTCTCTGGATTTCAAGTCATCTGAATAACTGTTGACAAAGCTACATCAGAATTTAAAGTCTAACAGGCTTTCCCCCTTACACTGGAAGTTAATGTCTTGGCACTGAGACTCAGACAAAGACCCATGACCTCATTAGTCTGAAACTTTTGCTAATTCTACCACAAACACTTTTTTTCTTTCTCTCTCTAGCAGTTTTGGACATTTTTGCTTGTAATGTCCCTCCTCTCTGTAATAGGCATATTGGCTTTGATCTAGGGAGGCATGACTTTTCCCCAGTTTTCCACCTGGTCCTCCTTCCTCTAGGTTGTCAGCATCACTTTTTCCTTTTCTTGCCTATGTTTCTATCTTGTATTTTCTCTACAATGAAACACTTTTTGAATAACTTTTATCAACTGAGACAAATTTATTCCTGCAGATTTCTCTAGCTTTGCAAGTTTCAGCAGATAACTGGAGGAAGCACAGCTGGGGGAGGGGACTCAGAACCTGACACAGTCAGAATTCCTTTCTTATGGCCACAATAGGAGACCACCTGACCAGGTGGCTGGGAATGAAGAGGTGAACAGCAGGCTGGACTAGAAAGGGCAGGACAGATAAGAGCCCATGAGCTCAGTGGGTTGTTATCACCCTGCCATCAGGTCAGTAGCAGAGGGAAGGGAAGGGGAGAGAAAGAGAGAGAGAGAGACAGAGAGACAGAGAGAGACAGAGACAGAGACAGACAGAGAGAGACGGAGAGACAGAGAGAGAGAGACAGAGAGAGATACAGAGAGACAGAGAGACAGAGAGAGAGAGACAGAGAAGTATCAGAGTATCAGAAGATGAGGTGGCAGCCACAGTGGGCCAGGGTTGCTGCAGTGTGGTAGTGTAGGTAGGGGCAGGGGTGGTGGCTTTGGTGGCAGCTACTCCACTGATTGCCACAGCACTTCAGATGAGATGGTCAATCTCCTCTGGGACTCATGGCAAAAAGCAGGCTTTGACCCTCAAGACCTGTCCCTAATATCAGAACACAATCAGGAATTCCACATACACATTTACACAGCATTTCACGGTTTTCTTTTGTCATTTTTACTACATACTTACCTTTAAATCTATCAGAATTCCTTATCATGCAACCTAGCATGGGTGGTTTGCTGTTGGTAGCACC